AGTCTCCTTTGCTCAAGGCTAAACAGATTCAGCTCAGCTAACCTCTCCTCATAAGACATTCCTCTAAGACCAGGAATCATTCTCGTAGCCCTCCGTTACACCCTTCCTAAGGCAGCAATGTCCTTCTTAAGGTATGGTGACCAAACCTGCTAGGTGGGGTCTTCCCAAGGAATTGTATAATCGTAGCATCACCTCCTTTGACTTAAACTCCACAAACCTAGAGATGTAACCCAACATCCTATTGGCTTTTTTATTGCTTCCTCACACTGGCGAGAGCGGGACATGGAAGCATCAACATACACACCGAGGTCTTTCTCATAATCAGCTACCTTTATTTCAGTGGAACCAAAAAAAATATCTGTACTTTATTTTTCTGCTCCCTGCATGGATTACCTTACATTTATCTATGTTAAATTTCATCTGCCAGGTATCAGCCCAGTTGCTAATTAAATCAAGATCCCATTGTAGCCTCTGTGCTGCTAGCTCAGTATCTGCTACACCATCCACCTTAGTGTCATCTGCAAATTTAACCAGTTTACTGTATGTATCATTATATTAATATCATTAATATAAATTAGGAACAACAGTGGTCCTAAAATTGAACCCTGCAGTACCTCACTATGAACACAGGTCCACTGTGACAACTCGCTGCTTCTTGTCTGTTAACCAGTTTTTGATCCAAGCTACTAGAGTTCCTAAAATCCCTGCAGCTTTGAGCTTAAGCAAGAGCTGTTTGTGGGGGACAACATCAAAGGCCTTCTGGAAATCTAAGTAGATCACAGAACCAGCTTTATTTGCCAAGTGTGCTGGGGCACACAAGGAATTTGGTTCCGGCTGGTAGAGACTCCCTAGTACACAGACAATAAATGACACTGTACAAACAATAAATTACAGTATACAAGAAATTAAATTTGAAATATACACACATGGGTAGCACTTTACAAGTATAAGTGTATATGTGGGGACCCCTTTAGGACAGCTGGAAAAGCATCCCAAGAGGCCATCTCATGAAAGTGGCTTAGAGGAGACAGTAGGGTCAGCCAGGCGCTGGAGCAATTGAGGGCAAGGGCCTTGCTCAAGGGTCCAATGGTGGGATCACTCCGGCAACCCAGGAATCTGAACTGGTTTCAAAGTTGAAATCAAAGCTTGGATTCTGTGTGCAGGGTCAGGCTATTTATTTGGTGGAGCACTTTATATGATTTATCTCAATTAGGCTCACGAGATCTGTGACTATACTTTCATGTGTCACCCCTGACTTAGACTAAGTGACATGATTAAATTCCATAATATAGTACCGCAATATAATGAAAACTTTATTATTACAAGCCTACCTGACACTCTCTTCCCACCTCTCCAAAAATATGTGACAGGATTAAATTCCCTCATGATAAATTTAGTGGAATTCCCCATGAATCATTTCTCCAACTGACTACCAGAATGCTACTGATAAAATGTGGGAAGGCTAGCGATCAAGTGTAGATTTTCAACCATGTAAAGTTTTTGTGAGCTGGTAATAAGACTAAATAACAATGTGCCTGAACAGTAGAGCTGTCACTATCAATTATATCAGTAATCAAGTAAATTATCGATTAATCTGACGATTCATCAAGCAATTGATTAATATAATATAATATAATATAATATAATATAATATAATATAAATTGCAATTCAGTCAGTCACACTCAGTCACACATACAGAAAATCTAGACACTCCAGTTCTCTTTCAAGTTGCATGTTTTTGGACAGTCATGGAAAGAAACTGGAAGATCTACCTACGCTACCCACTGTACTACTGTACCGCCCTGACAAGCTTGCAGGATGTGCGATATTAATATCGACATGACATTTTATGTCTTTATGATCACACATCGCAAGGACCACAACAGTCTTCTGTGTTCAACCAACAAGTTACGCTAAAACATTTTTACTGAATCATAGGAAACCACACTTAACAAACGTTCCAATTTTAATGATGGTTCCTTTTCAACATTATCTAGTATATGTAAAAAGAAAATCAGTCTAAAGTTTACCAGCACTGTTTTTGTATGAGCTCTGCATGTGCTCTCCGAGAGTCATAATCATTCTCGTTCTTACTGTTAAGCTCATTCAGATATTATGACACGTTTGTGAGAATTTAAACAAAAATAAGCGAAGAGGGGGAAAAGCAAACAAGAACTGGTCACAAAAAAGACATCTGTCTTCCGCTGTATGTAAATATTTTGTTTTCCATAGAGATACAATATTGTAGCACCGGTGAAGTTAGCGTTGCTGGAAGGCATTGGCACCGCTGGTTCCCCCTGGCTGCTGACTCTTACCTTTACGGCTTGGAGAGAGCCTGCCGCCCCTCTGGCCCCCCAGATTGGGTGGCCTCACACCGCTACTCCTCACCGGCCATCTCCCTTGGCAACTCACAGTGCTTCCACACTAGCCGAGCCTCCAGAGTGCACTTGCGCTCCTCCAGCTTCATGCATTCCTGTGCTAGTGCGAGTTGAGACATGTCTTCAAGCAGTTTCGCAGCACAGCCTCCGCCTCCAGCTTCTGGAGGTCACACACATCTATCTGCTCGCGCAGCTTTTCAAGGGTACGCTGCCTCCCCCATCATACTGTAGTTGCTCTCTGTCTTGCTTGATCTGCATCCGCTGCCCCTCCAGTTTTCTGCGCTGCTGAGCTAGCTGGGTCTCCAGCATGCAGCAGGCCTCCTCACGGCTGAGTAGAGCAGTCTCAGCCTGCTGTCTCCCTTGGGCGCGCTTTGCAGCTGGGGTCTCGCCACGGCACGGCACAGCTGGAAAGCTGAGGGCCCTTGCTGGTCTCCAAGATCTTCCGCCTTCCCTGGTCTCCAACCGCATCTTGGATGGGAAGTCGGGGGGCTGGCAGGGACAGCTTCTGGGAGTGCTGCATGAGTCTAGAGCTCCTCAGATGGATGGGGCAGTGCCTTCCTCACTCCGCCGTTTGTCTGCCGGTGGCTCTGGTCCGGGTTTCCGGGCAGTAGTGTGCCCGGTGCCTTCTCCTTTGTGTCCCATGCAGCTTTCTCGCCAGAAATGCCACCTATCTTTGTTTGCCACTTCCCTTGCTGTCTTGAGGTCCACCAGGCTGGGGCAGACTTGCTTGAAAATGTTTAGACACGCCGATTCTGGCATCCCACTTCTAATACCAACATGATGACTGGCAGACCATCGTGAAGACAACGGCAAAGGATGAGGCATGTCTAGGGAAGAACAACACCGTTTTATTTAGTCCTGAGAAGGACTAACACAGGCACCCAATGAGCATCAAACCAGAAATCAAATCTGCCTTTTTTTGCAATCACTATGTGCCTTCTTCAGTTTTGTGTCAATTAGGATCAAAATTCATCAGCTGCATTTCAGCTTCCCTGTAATGCATCGGCAAAGTTTGAAAAAATCTATCAAACCACTATTGAGTTATCATCTTAACGGGATCAAGTGTCAAAACTGGCCTTTATTTTTGCTACCACTCTATGTCGCCATTTCAGTTTTTGGGGCGATCTGTTTTTCTTCCTCACCCATACAATGCCTGTGCAAAGTTTGAAAAAGATCTGCCATATGGTTTTGGAGTTATTTGCAGACTGCACTGTTTGCCATGGCATGCTCACGAAATCTGAGCAGCACTCCCAGGAGCGAGGGACCTAAGGTTGGGCCAGGGAGCAGTGCATCATTAAAACTGACACCCTGGAACTGAAAGGAGCAGTCAAACACCACTTGAGGTTTGCCACTGTGATGGACTAAATGATGAGGAAGAAACCAGCACTCACTTCCTGCTTCGAGCTCCTCTGATCTTAACTTCACCATGGCACTAGACTGGACTAGCTTCTGTATCTCTCCTTTATAGATCTCTGCTAACTGTGGATGTTTAGAAAGCCTCCTCTCTATCTATACTTTGCAAACGGGCCATTACTGCTTCCATTGGGGCATGAAACCGGGGCATGTTGCGTTTACGCAACAGAGGTGTTGCATAGCGCCATGCCCCTTTGATGTTGACGCAAGTTGTACTAGACTGCAAGAGGTCAATCGCTTCTCAATCCTGTCTGGATCTGGTCACCTCTTTCTCTCTCTGAAATGGGACATCAACCTGCCATTACTTCTCAACATTCTTTAACAACTCAGCGGTGCTTGGCACAGTGGAGGTGAACAGACACTGGTGTGGTTTGAACTGCTGTTCTACAAGACTGGTGGGACCCTGAAGTGGGACCCATCCTGGTTCGGATAGCCACTGGCCCCCCTGGTGGTCCCAGTCTGACAGGCCCGATGGGGGTAATAATGTGAGGGTGATCAGCGCCAATCAGGACTAGAGGCCTAGCATTCTCAAACTGTGGTATTGGCAATCCAGCAAGGTGTTTGTATTTCCTTTTCAGGGTTTTGGAGGGGTAAGAATGTTCAGCTAGAACTAGATGTGGGGCTGTGAAGGCTCCTGTAATTTGGAAGCGTTTCTCCGGCTGTGAGAATGGAGAGACATGAAAAGAGACTGACGCGCCTTGAAGTTTCTGAATCTCATGGCTAATAGTGCGGAGAGATAAATGTTTTGGTGTGCCCAGTAGGCCGAGTCTTCGTGCAGCGTCAGGTAAAAGCATTGTCCGTTCAGACCCGTCATCAACAATGGCAAAGGTGTCTATTGTTTGGTCTTGGTAGTGCAGGAATACTCTGGTGATCTTTAGAAGAACTCAACTGCTATTACCTGGCCTGTCTAAATGGAACACCTTGGTGGCTGTGCTAAGCAAGCACGTCTCTTCTTTGGGCTCATGCTTTGGTACTCTGTCATTGACAGCGTGCAGGACTCGTAAGTGCCTCCTCTGGCAGATTGGGCAGGGTTTCTTCAAATCACATTGGGCTGCCAGGTGTTGCTTATCACAATGCCAACATCTCTTATTGGCCTTTATCCATTCTCCTACTTGATCTTTAGCAAGGGTTGGAATCACAGGGCACTGACTGAAGAAATGCTCAGAATTTCTGCAATAAGGGCAATATGGCTTAGCTTTGCCTCAGGCCCCTTCCTCTTCTGATTTACTAGAGTTGTTCTGAGTTCCCCCAGCTCCAAGCAGGATGGTTGCAATGTTGTGATGAGGACGCTGGCGGGTACGCTGTGCAGCCCTTCCCTCACTATCCTTCCTCATAGTCAAGTCATCACTTCCCTGGCACCTTGACTCAAACTTCAGCCACTCTGCGAAATCTGACATTGAATAAGTAGCACCTGGTCGATGTAACATATAGCGACAGAAGTCTGCTCTCCTTTCTGGTGGTAATTTATTCAGGAGGTGAGTTACGTGAGAGCCACACTCTAACTCGACACCTCCTGCAGGGCCTAATGTCATAACCCCAACAGATCTGGCAAAACTCCCCATCTTCCCTGCAAAACCCTCTGTGTCAATCAAAACGGGAGTGGGTTGACCTTAGTGTAAGTCCTGGGGGTGAGTAGCCAATAGGAGAGGGCGCTCAGACTATAAGGGTTACTCCAGCACAGACGCTTTATGCTCCTTTTCGGCTGTCATTTTAATTGTTAGATTCCCGGTTCGTTCATGGACTAGTGGTCGGGGGGGAGCGTGTCTACATGCGTGCGACGGGGTGTTAGAGGGGCCGATTGGTCCCTCACTTTTCAAAGGTTTGTTTCTTTGTTTTTGTTTTAATTGTATTACGTTTATCTCTGTTTGATATATTGTGTTTTCTGTTTTGAATGGGTAAAAATGTGTTTTTGTGTCATCAATGTAAATCGTTTTGTTCGGTTATGTTGCTATGTATCTTATTTGTTGGGTTGATTTTCTTTACTTTACACTGCAGTGTTTTTCTTTGGGTTTTGTGTGATTACCATTGTGGTTTGCAGTTATATATATATTTTTTTGCTCACCCGTATGATTGCATGCATCCTTCTGGTTCTTCTGTGCTGTCTTAGGTTTCAGCGCCCAGTCTTAGACCGGCAAGAAGTGGCTGCTGGTATCCGGGCTGTACTTTAGGCCTATGGTGTTGTGACTGACTAATCTTCTTATGGTTTTAGTTCTAGTAAAATTTGTGTTTGGAACAATGTCTCTCCGCTCTTACGGTAAACGGACCAGTGTGCCTTGGCCCGGGGGGTAGGGCGACCGAACTTTCTCCGGGTGTAATACCTGGGGTGGCGTAGTCGAGCTGACTTGTGGCTATCAGTACCATTGTTTGGTACCATCCGGCAGTATTCCATCACCACTCGCTACATTAGGTAGGGGGAGAGGGGGAATCTATGAAACAGCGCATCTCTAACTTTGTGCAGTACTAATGCAATTATTAATACGAGTTCCAAATGGGAGATAGGTGGGAGATAAACACGTAATTTTTTTTACGTGTTTACGTGTACGGGGGGGGGGCGCCCAGAGCACCATACAAGCTAGAACCACCACTAGTGTTAGCATGCGCTGAATAGACCTCTCTCTGTGTAATTTCGGGCCAAAATATTAACAGTAAAAAAGCAATAAATCTAGTTAAAAATATAGAAAAGTGTTGTATTTCAAGTAATAAAATTGTTGCCTCGTTTAAAAAAAAAAGGTTGTCTGTGGATTGAGAAACGGATGACAGAGTTATGGGAAAATACTGTTGTGGGATATTACTAAAGTGACCAGATAATCCATGTCAGAGAGGAAACTTTGAGCTACTTCTGGTTTTACAAACTACTTTAAAACTGATAGGCTCCTATGCTTGCCTAAATAGTTGTTCTTTCTTGTGCTTTTCTTGATCAAAAGACTTTAATATAAACATTAGTGACACATGCATAATAATGAGACTGACCAATCAGCACAAAGCAAGAACTCAGTGTTTAAGTGAAATCAAGGTCCTTCAATTGAAACGGTAATTTCCAAATCCTGTCCTTGCTCAAAAGTGTCCTCCCTGACATTATCTGGTTACCTTAGATATTGCTTTAAGTCGAACTTTTGTCTAGTTTGAGTCAAAGTTAAAGATTTGCTGTGCTGATGTCTCACACTGCGAATCTGTTTTCCCCTGCAGGGCGGCATGATAGCCTTGCTGTTGTCCATCCTGTGTCTGGTCCTCATCCTGTACACGCGTCGGCGCTGGTGTAAGCGTCGCCGGGTGCCCCAGCCACAGAAGAGTGCCAGTGCAGAGGCTGCCAACGAGATCCACTACATCCCCTCAGTGCTGATGAGTGGCCAGGCCCGCGAGAGCCTGCGCAATTCGCGCGGTCAGGGCCACAACTCCAGCGGCACCCTCAGCATCCGCGAGACACCAATTCTGGACGGTTACGAATATGACATCGCGGACCTGCGGCACCACCTGCAACGCGAGTGCATGAATGGCGGCGAGGACTTTACCAGTCAGGTTACACGTACGCTGGATTCACTGCAAGGCTGTAATGACAAGGCCAGCTTGGACCTCACTCCTGGTGTGTGAATCGTATGCTGCACTTCCTCTCTGAATAAAAACAAAGATCAGGAAAATATCCTAATACTATTGCCTTATTCCATGCTAGATGGCACCTGAATACTACTAGAAATTAAGTTAAGCAAATCTATGTAGTCTATACACATTTTTTGTTTATTTAGCAGGCAGTCCAGTTATTAAAAGGTTTGTTAAATTAATGTGTCACACATTAGGACAGGCAGTAGTTAATAAGGGAGCCCACAAGGTTTCTGGGTAAGAGCAATACGATCTACTGGAGATGGCTCATGTAATGGTCAAAACAAACACACAGTATGGTTATTCTGAAGTTAATTTCCACTGTCTGGTTATTTATTTTTTATGAGACAATTCTCCACGTACCAGCCACTCTTTAGAACAAAGATGATGCATCTAATTAGAGTGATCTAATTCTGTCATCGTCATAGGTTTGATTGTATACTGCTCAAAGTAGATACCTTCTGATTCAATACGTTAGACACTGTAATGAAAATAAACACATTCTAAGGAAATGTTTGTTTTGTTGAATTCAAATTAAGAGCTAAATAATTTGCACTTTTAATATTTTATGCTGATTGTAGTCCTTGCATAATTTTTTAATAGCCCCTCAGTGAGACCCTGCAAGCGATTTCGCACTGGGGGATCAGATTAGCTCACTAAGCTAACTCACTTGAATAGTGCTACAGAATTTATTTCATGTGTTCTTTGGGCTTTCTAGCATGACTCACATTTAACAAATAAATGGATGCAGGTTATATGTATCTAGGAGGGAGATCAGGGATTTCAATGAACTTTTATTGAAATATTTTTGGGTTTGGTTATTTTAAGAGAGCCAGGAGCCATTCACATACAGTATTTATACATTAATTCAGCTATAGTTTTCCTAATGAAGGCAACCATACATTCAAGGGTGTTACTGTGTTTTCAATATAAACAGGACAGATCCATTAAGTGACAAATCCGTCCTCCCACATAATCCTGTATCACTGTGTATACCTATGTACAGTATAGTCAGTAGGTCAACAGGTTAGATGAGAACCAAATTTTCCCAACAAGTTTATTCATATTGTTAAAAGCAAAATTCTGGAAAATATTTGGTGGGACAAACACCATTGTTTTGAATATTGGGTGGGATGTGCCTCCCCCCCCCCCAATGTCCTACCTAATTTAGGTGAGTTTAGGTGAGTTCTTTGCAGTTTATATATAGACAGTATAAAGGCATTGAAAGAAATATAGAAATTACTGTAGTACATTAAGGATAGCTAATGTAAGCAAAGCTTCTCTGAGCATGACTGAAAATACATTTACAGTCTCAGTAAGAAAAATATACTCTTATTACATTGACAAGTATATTTACATTTATTTATTTAACAAACACATTTGTCCAAAGCAACATTTAAGCCAGCAGATAATACATTACATACATGGCTGCCAATGAGTGGACAGGCATTAGAGCAGCTAGGCTGACCTTTCAGTGAAGGCCCTGGTAGAAGTACAACACTGTGAGCATTCAGGGAGCACAAGAGAGCAGTTAAGGGACTATAGAGTGGCCTAATAGAGCTGTTCCTGAAAAGGATGGATTTTGAGGTAGTAGGACAAAATAACAAAACACTTGTTGGTTTATTCTTGAGTGCTGAAATGCTGTAAATGGTCAGGTAATTATGATTCATTTTTATAGGGGGGGAAATGGGAATAGGTATTTAAGAGTATGAAGTATGGCAATTATGTGGGACATTATTGTTTTTAAATAATTAATAAGTAAATACACTCGGTACACCCAACTTGTACTGGGTAGGGCCCATTTTTGCCTCCAGAATTGCTTCAAGGGTTGACAAATTTACCTGCTCAGAGATTCCATTCTGCAGTTAGTTATTTTTACACTTGAGGCCTTCCTGTTAGCTTTAGCAAAGCTGGTCATTCTCCTCTGACCTATCTCATCGTCAAGGTGTTTTTGTCCACAGAACTTCCATTTGTTAGATTGTTCTTATTTATTGCACCATTCTCTATAAAGACCAGACACTGCAGTGTGTGAAAATCTCAGGAGGGTGGCTGTTTCTGAGATTCGGTGTCTTAGCTTAGCTAAACAGTCAGTAAACCTTCTGACCATGTCTGCATGCTTTATGTTTTCAATTCCAGGCACATGGTTGTCTTTTTGGAGGACTAGTCTGTTTGTAGTACAGTAAAATCCCGTTATAGTGGACTCGCTTATAACGGAATATCGTTTATAACGGATGAGGTCCGCTGGTCCTGGCCGTACGCCTTTAGAGAACATGCAGAAAAAACATCGGATATAGTGAACTTGCATATAATGGAATTTCGCTTATAACGGACAAGCAATATGGTCCCCAGGCCGCTTTTAGCTGTAGTTTTGTTCGGCTATAACGCACATACAGGCTCCGCCTACAAGGTGTGTGGCGTGCCGGTGATACCCAGCGCAGATACGTAGTCGGGATTATTAATAGTCACACATCTGGTCAGGTAAAGTTGGATTACTACATGTACAATATAATAATGTATACCACAAATGTGTCTGCTGGGGTGTGGCATGAGTAAATGGTGTCCTGTAGTTGTGTTCTGGGCATACATCAACTTTGGATATAACGGACTTTGGATATAACGGACTGTTTTGTCAGGTCCCTTGAAGTCTGTTATAACTGGATTTTACTATAGTAAGTAATTGTGCCTTAATAAGCTGGACACTAAGTATATATTCTTAACAAAGAACATAAAGTTTAGATGAATGTTTATACAGATGTTTTGTGAGTCTTTGCAGTTGTTGAGGTAGGTTCTGTGATGCCCAGTTTTTCCTGTTTATACTATATTTTAATAGAGCAGCACAGACTAAAGTAATAGAGCAGCACCCTTACTGCTACTTAGGTCCTCATGTCAGTAGTAGTTAGGGGCATAGGGCAGCGTATTTTCATGTAACCCCCAATATTTCATTTGGCTTCATTTGTCCCCCTGTAAATATGCCTTTGCGTTTCATTTACCAGAATAAATAATAATTCTTGTGTCTCAAATATATTTTAAATTAAAGAGAGTATCAGTCTGTATCAGTATTGTACTGGTCACATCAGCACTGCTTAATGTTTTTGAGTTTTCACTTGAATGCCAGTAAAAACAAACAAATGCTACAAAATGATATATTTTTTTAAATGCGGCATAACTCTATATGTACATGTTCTTGATTGTTATATTACATTATATATTATATAGAGAGATTATATTTACAAGAATTTTTGATTATCATGATTAATAAGAGGTTTGTTGTTATTGACTTTAACATAATGTTGAGCTATTTATTGTCCTTTTTTTAGCAGTAAAATTTAACCTCGTAATGTCAAACCAGCTTGACAATCATATATATGCAGTTTTAAAGAATGGAATATTTTGTCAGATGTTATCAAGTTGTGTTCCCCCAATATTTCCTACGCCTTTCAGTAGCGTGTCCTAAATATTGGCATACCTGTTCAGTTGTGGACAGAATGACAGAAAGTACTTGACTGCTTTTGTATTACTTTAGCAGTTTCATAGACATCATAGAACAATATTAGCTGACAGAATAAGTTCTGCACCCTGTTGTACAAGTTTCTGTTTTCTTTGATTAATTATACGTCCCTACCTAGTGTTTGTTCAGAGTGAGAGCTGCATTCTCAGCTGAACCTCTTCAGAGACACTCTACTGTCACCGTCACTGAATGAACTATTGGGACACCCCAGCACCAGGATCACTTCTTAAATTCTAAAAGCAAGAAGCAATGTTCAGATATATTAGACAGACAGTAGCATGATTGTTAGCAGAATGCCTTTTATTTTATACTATAGAAAGTGTTTTTGCTTGTTTTTCCTAGTGATCTTAACTATTTTGGTTGGTAGAGAGATTCAAAGGGAAAAAGGCAAGACTATACAGTGCTAATCTCACATAATTATGTATGTAACTCCAAAGTTTTTGCTGTATATTTTAAAACAGTCTTGAGAAGCTTGCATTCCCTGCTGAGGATTTAAAACGGTTTGCTTGCTCTTCATCTCCTTGTCTTATTATGCCCTTTGTTTCATCAGGCAGTGACACTACTAAGCTATCTCTAATGAGCAAGTACAAGGACAACATCATCGCCACGAGCCCCATTGATGCCAACCACCAGCAAAACACGCTTATTGCTCACAACACGTCAAGCAACCAGCGCAAACGTGTGACCAGCAAAACCCATGGTGAGTCGCCTGCCTCTGATCCTCTGTGAATGGAAACATTCAACCATTTTTCAATATTTTTCAACTGCTTAGACAGGGTCACAGGGGGTCCTGGAGCCTTTCCCAGGAATTATAGGGCATAAGGTAGGACTACACCCCCAAACCCTGGATGGGCTGCCTGTACATCACAGGATACATACACACTACACGTTTTTAAAGTCATCACTTAGCCTAGATGCATGTCTTTGGATAGTAGGAGGAAAGTAAAGTACCCAATGGTGACGCGCTCAAAATTATATTGTTTAAAAATACACAATACCATTCTGAAGGGAAATGTCAATAAACTGCTGTGCAAGATCTGGGCATTCTATGGCTTCATTGTTTGTGAACCCTAATGTAATTTCTTAAAATGTTACTTTTGCTATAAAAGCATTGTATATGGAAATTGATGCATGCGATAATATGCAGCAGGGTTGCCAACTCTCACGCATCTGGTGTGACACTCATTCTTTCAGACTCTCACGTTCATGAAGGAAATCTATATTATCCCATTATAAAACTAAAAATAGCTACATCAAAAGTTTTGGGGCAGTTTGCAAACCCTACAGACTATTTGCAAGGAAATTAAACTGTTACATACTTGTAAATGTGTGTGCAGACTTGTTTTGAATGAAAAATCTCATGCCAGCCAGCTGACGAAAAATGGCAACTCTGAGGCAATGAATGTGCAGATATAAATAGATAACGGTTAACCCATTAACAGTCGATCACTAGATTATAATTTAGATGACTCTCACTTTTTTGTCTTACCCATACAGGTTTGTGTGATACACTAGAACATGTTCTAACCTTGGATTTGATATTGTAACAAATCTAGACAGTAAAAAAAACAAAATGAAAAAACTTAAAAATATCCCAGTTCATTATAAACAAGGTTATGCATCATTCAGAACTGAATTGAGAATGTCGCTGAAATTACAACTCACATTTACAACTCACTTCACAAATTACAACAGTTTGTGAATTTGAACGAAATTTGAATTATGGTTCAAAACAGGTTGCACAATTGCAATTCGAGTTTGAATTTAAGAAAGTAGAGTTAAAATGGAAATTAGTTCAATTGCATTGATATATATATACAGTGGTGCCAGAAAGTGGTGAAACCTGTTTCTTTACTTTTGCTAGATACGATTTAAAACATGATCAGATTTTCAAGTAAGTCCTAAAACTAATGGGAACCCAGTTAAAAAAAGACACAAAATATTATTCTTGTTCCTTTATTTATTGAGTGAAATGATCCAATATACACATATATGTGTATGGATGAAGAATGTTAACCTTTGCTCTCAGTGACTGGTGTTACTCCCTTGTGCAGCAATAAGTTCAACTAGACATTTCCACTCCTGTGCATCATCTTGGAAGAATCTCAGCCCATTCCTCTTTACTGAACAGCTTCAACTCTGGGACATTGGTTGGCTTTCTTGCGTGAACTATTCACTTCAGGTCCCCAACACTTCTATTGGAAGTTTCTTCTGCTTTAAGCATTTTCAGGTAGAATAACTTGTGTGTTTAGGGTTGGTGCCTTGAGTTTTAATTCAGGGATGGATATCCTGACATTTTCCTTTAGAATTTTCTGGTGCAATTCAGAATTCATAGTTGCATCAATGATGGCAAGCCTTCCTAGACCAGAGATATCAAACCACGATACTGCCACTGCCAAGTTTCACACATGAGTTAAGGTTATGCTAATATTGACTTGCATTTGCAAAATATCTTTTTTTTGCGAATGAAAATTGTGTTCAGTGCGAGCAAATTTCTTTTTACGGGTGCAAATTGGAAAGTACACATACAAGTACATATGGCACTATTCTGACTCCATAGACTTATAACATATTTTGGATTGCACCAGAAGGGTTTTGTCTCATCTGATATGACTGGCATTCATACCTTGTTGCAGAAGAATTTGTCTGTATTTAGTGCTGGAGAGGGAGATTTGGGGAGAACTCGCCGGACGTTGCACAAAATTGATACTGGTGAGGCGAAGCCTGTAAAGTTGCCACCCCGCCGTGTCCCTCTCCATTTGCAGGAGGAAGTATTTGGTCACTTAAAGCAGATGCTGGCTAACAACATCATTCAGCCCTCAAATAGCCCTTGGGCGGCGCTGGTGGATCTGGTACGTAAGCGAGATGGTGGCCTTCGGTTTTGCGTTGATTATCGCAAATTGAATGATGTCACCCGTAAAGATGCGTATCCCTTACCACGAATTGATGATGCGTTAGATAGTTTGAGTAAGGCTTGCTGGTTTTCTACATTGGATTTAGCCAGTGGGTACTGGCAAGTTGAGTTGGATCCAAAAGATAAACATAAGACCGCGTTTATCACTCGTCAGGGCCTTTTCGAATTTAACGTGTTGAGTTTTGGCCTGTGTAATAATCCGAGTACGTTTCAGCGTCTCATTGATTTAATGCTGGCGGACCTTCAATGGACTACTTGTTTGTTGTACTTAGATGATATAATAATATTTGGCCGTACGTTCCAAAAACATCTTGACCGTGTGGATGAGGTTTTGACTAAACTAATCTTAGACTAATCTTAAGGTTAAGCTGGCGGCTAAAGTGGAAGCTGTGCGCCAGTGGCCTGTGCCTAAAAATCAGACGGAGGTGAGGAGTTTTGTGGGTCTGGCCTCTTATTATAGGAGGTTTATTCGGGGATTCGCTGAACTTGCTCGGCCTCTGCACCAGCTGACCGAGAAGGGCAGACGGTTTAAATGGACGGAAGCTTGTCAGACAGCATTTGAACAGCTCAAACTTAGTTTGATGTCTGCACCAGTCCTGTCTTACCCTGACCCAAATAAAACCTTTATATTAGATACGGACGCGAGTGATGCAGGTATTTAGGCCGTATTGTCCCAGGTAAAGGGGGGGCGGGAAGGTGTGATAGCATACGCTAGTAGGGCTTTGACTAAACAAGAAAGGAAATATGCAACAACTAAGAAGGAGTTGTTAAGCATGGTTACATTCATAAAATATTTTAAACACTACCTGCTGGGTAAGGAATTTGTCTTACGGACAGATCATAATTCATTAAGATGGTTGCATAATTTCCAAGGCTTAGAGGGGCAGATGGCTAGGTGGGTGGAGCAGCTAGCCAGCTTTCAGGTCGGGGGCACGCTAATGCGGATGCCCTCTCTAGATTGCCCGCTTTTCTGCCAGTAACCTCAGATTCACCACCAGTTACCCAAAAAAAGGGGGAGAGGTGATATGTGCTGTGAAGGAGGTGTGTCCAGAGGCTGTGGTAGGTCAGGAGGAGTGCGATGAGTTGGGGCAGGCTCAGCAAGGAGATGCGGAGCTGCAAAAGATTTTTGCTCTAAAAAAGCAGGGGAGGGCAGGTAGTCAGCCTCCAGATGAGCTGCGGAAATATGCACCAGTGTGGGATCAGTTGCAGGTGCAGGGTTCTAGGTTGGTACGATATCCACCTTTAAATTCGGATGCAGCAAATCAAGTTCAGGTTGTTATCCCCAAGTCTTTGGTGCCAGATATTTTGAGGCAGTTGCATAATGCTACTACTGGGGGTCATTTGGGAGTACAAAAGTTGCAAGCCAAGGTGAAAGATCGGTTTTATTGGCTGGGGTGGTTTGGGGATGTTAAGTGCTGGTGTCGGGAGTGTGTGGATTGTGGTTCCTGGAAAGTGGTTTGGAAACAGGGGTGTGCCCCACTGCAGTCTGTTGTGACCGCTAGGCTATATGAACGGGTAGCATTAGACATTTTAGGGCCGTTACCAGTAACCTCAGGGGTAAATAAGTATATTGTGGTCATTGGGGATTATTTCTCAAAATGGACTGAGGCATTTCCTCTCCCTAATCAGGAAGCTTCAACTGTGGCCAAGGTCTTGGTGGAGCAGTGGGTCTGTCGCTTTGGGGCCCCTCGCTCTATTCTTACAGATTAGGGTCGAAATTTTGAATCAAATCTATTCAAAGAAGTGTGTCAATTGTTGAACATTGAAAAGACTAGGACATCAGCTTACCACCCCCTGTCAGATGGGATGATTGAGAGGTTTAACAGGATATTGTTGTCATTGTTGTCCCTCGTTGTAGAGGAAAACCAGTCCAGATCTTTTGTTACCTTATGTGATGATGGCTTATAGGAGTAGTATTTACTCCAGTACTGGGTTCACACCATATAAGGTTGTTTTTGGGCAAGGGATAGTGTTGCCAGTGGATGTTATGTTGAATCTCAATGGCGGGGAACGGTTTTCCTCTGTAACTGAATATGTGGCTAGACTGTAGGACACATTGTCCACAGTGGTGGAAGCAGAAAAATGTCAGCAGTCAAGAGCTTCTGGTAAGCAGAAGGAAGCGTATGACTTCAGAGCGCGAGTCCAGTACTATTCAGAGGGGGAGTTGGTATGGGTCCGAGGGAAGGCTAGAAGAAGGGGTTTATGTCCAAAGTTACAGAGAAGGTTTAAGGGCCCATATAAGGTGGTGGAAAGGATAACAGAGGTGTTGTATCAAGTGGTACCAGTGGAAGGGGGGATTGAGGTGGTGGTGCATTTTAATCGACTTAAACCTTTTCTCTCTACTGTAACAGAGGCTACCAACCAGGAGTATAGAGAACGAGTGATGCCTGTTGGTACCTTGCCGGAGTTAAGGGGTACCCCCCCCCTGGTGGTGGCTATCTGCAAACACTGCCCTCAGAGGGTAAGGGTGACGAGATGGAGGTGGTGGTACCAGGGGCATAAGTGGGGGTAATGGCAGTGAATCGGCCAGAAGAGGCAAGTGCAATTGGACTAGGACAGCAGGGGGAAGGGGACCAGCCTGCCCGAACATGGCGGAGCTGAGCCCGTAAGGACTCTTCATAGTTGCACAGCGATAGGCCTGCTGCTATGTGTTGGGCTAAGGAACAAGAACGGAGCGAGGGGGCTCCAGTCCAGAAGACTCGTCTGGGATGTCAGAGGAGGCCACCAACATGGTCTAAGGACTATGAGATGATGTGACTCGAGGATGAGTCTGTTTTAAGAGTGGGGTCGGTCCAGACTGGAGAAAGGCAGCACACTACCGAAGAATTTGGGGAGGAAGAGTCCAAAATGAATTACAGATAAACAGAAGGAATTACACCTTAGTTTACGCTTCACCCCCCGATAAAACCTATTTTAAATATATTGAAACTAAATATGTTCACTTAACAAAAAACAGCATGAAATAAAATGATAAGGAAAGCATCCCCCATTTCCCAAAGTGGTTCCTCCTTAACCTTACCGGGAAAATCATACAAAAGAAACCCGCTAAATGGAAGGATTAGAGCTGATGGGATTCTCTTACAAGAAACCATGCCACAATTTCTTATTTAAAACGTGTTGAATTACATTGTTGGCCACTGGTATGACTGTTTTTATTATTTTATTCATTTTATTTAGGGTAAGTTACTATGTTTCGGAGATTTCGGAGCACTTCCCTAACCTCATTTTTCCCATTTGACATGTGTATTTTAGTATGTGGTTTTAGTGAACATGTGTTTTTCAGGAACTCTTTAGTTGCGTTGTAGCAGGACTGACTGTAGATCATCCTCCTGTAATTTTAGAAGAGCAATGTTTGCAAAATGCATTTAATGGAAATATATGGATGGAAGGGTGAACCTTATAATTCACATGAAGTGCATAATCTTTGGATTGTGAGAGATATTGTTATAGCTGTAGCAGTATGAAGGTTTTAGGAAACACAGCCCTGCACTAGGACTGTTTTGTAGTATGGGATTACATCTAAGCTAAACATCATTCCGAACTCATTTGGATTCATTTAGGCCTTTTTACTGTTAAATAATATGTTTCGATACATTTCCTTTGTATTTTTTGAAAATACGCTTGAAACATGATTGAATATCATTAGGAAGTGGATATCATTACCTTGACTACCATTTGAATTAGACGCCCTCTTTTCCCCGTAAAGGGAGCAGCGTTTTGAATATATGTTTTATATTTGACTTGTGCTTCAGGCTCGGTCTTCCTGAACCCAGACGGGGATTCAGGTACAGAGGCTGACAGTGAACCCCAACTGACATTCTACACCGACCCCAACCGAAGCCGGCGCCGCAGCCGAGGTACGAGAAATGGTAACGCCTACATCGCATGGGGTGCCGGGGGTAAGGATGCATTATCTATTAGACCATTTGCTGCAAATGAAAATGAAACCATGGGTTTAATGATGTGTGAAATTAATATTTTGTTGATAATGTTTATAGCAATTTAAATATTTTTAAATAATTGTTGAGGCTGTTTTGTCATGTTTTGAGATGTGGTGAAATTAAATTTGTAAGTTGTGTTTTTCTTTTTTAAAGAGTTGTTTAAAATTCTTATTTTTGCAACGATGATCAAATAAGCAGTGATGCCAGTGGTCATCATTATCTAGTTCCAGAATTACAGCTGTGTAAGCTTGCTGGGTGCCAAGAAAATACCTTTTAGATTAGATTAGATTGACTTTATTAATACCACAATGGGGAAATTCCTTAGAAACAGCAGCAATAATAAAAAAGGCAGTAAAAAAGACAGTATAACAGGATCCATAGGATCAGCAAAAATAACAATATAGACAATAAAAACAATAGAAAACAATTTCTAAAACTGTATAAATATATAAGTAAAAATATAAAGAAAAAAAAACATATACATCCATCCATCCATCCATCCACCCACCCACCATCAGACTATACCCCCTGGTGAGCATTGTGGAGGGAACATGCCTAGCTCTTTAGATAAGCTCTCACATTCCAATTTTGCAGACTCTTGCTTGAGGATCCCCAGATGTTCCTAAGCAGACCGGGAGATATAATCCCTCCAGTATGTCCTGTGTGGTCTCTACCCAGTAGGATGTGCCTGAAATAGCTCCCTTGGAAGTCATTAAGGTGGCATCCTTATGACGCATCCAAACCACCTCAGCTGACACCTCTTGATCTAAAGGAGCAGCGGCTCTATTTTGAGGTCACTCCATATGTCAGAACTTCTCACCCTGTCACAGAGAGTCAACCGCACGACCCCATGTGGAAGCCTTGTTGGTGCTACCTTGTCCTTTTTGGTTATTGACTAGACCTTGGATAGCGGATAGTAACATGAACAAGAAGTCATGGTGCTTAATCTCCTTCACTAAGGGCAGACTCTTCACCTTCTTCTGAAAGGAGCAATCCACTCTTTTTGGAGGGAGAGAGTTCATTCATGTCCTTGCTTCACACTCTGCTGTTCAGGTGGTTCGGGACACCCTGCAAATATCAGGGATATTACTTTTTAATTTAATTTGATTTTATATTTTATTAAAATTTTTGCCCAAAGTTAGGATCAGACAGTGTCCCTGGAGCAGTTGGGGTTAAGGGCCTTGCTGAAGGGCCTGACGATGGAATCACTCTGCCAGCCACAGGACTGGTGACATTCTGATTGCACTATGCCAGCTTATAAGAGACACCCTTCCAGCCACAGCTGCCCCTTGATATCTTGTCCTTCACTGGAATCTATAACCCAAGCAAATCAGACTCAACTTTGTACTCATCAAGCAGGCTCATTCCAACCAAGATTGTCACTAGAAATGTACAAAAAGGAGGCTAAGTCTTTACTAGGACGTCTCATGGAAATGGCCAGCATTATTTAAACTAATTAGTGTGCATTTATCTTTTTTTTGGGGGGGGGGGGGGGGTGCGGGGAAAAGATAATTTTAGTAAGGCTAAAGCCCCTGAACTCGTCTACCTTCATTCACAGATAATATAGCATACAGTAGCTCTAGTACTCATATTCCTGCACTACCTACCACAATTATTGTTGAGTCATGCCATCATATACCCTTTAGAAGTTTATGAATCACATGTAGCTTGTGATAGCATATTTCCACAGACCCTCACGTAAGTGCAAGGGGGAAATTTGGTCCAGTGTTCCACGGCCAGGCTGTAACCCGCCTTGAATCCTAGGTTCAGTATCAGGTGGAGTCTCCTCTCAGAATTCCCATTCTGGAAATGGCTTTCCTGGGGAGGTTGAAAAGTGTGAACACACCCCCTGGCCCTGCCTTTTTAAAAAATATGCACCACCACCCCTGTTTGTCAGTTAACTACAATACCTCAAGAACATCCAATTTACACTGGCAACCTTTCCACCTGCCCGGGTTACTTGGGTGACCTGACCACCAAGGCTTCCAAATGTTATCCATCTCATCACCTGGCTTTGGAATTGGAAAAGTCAGGTAAGAGCCAGCCCTGGGTGTTCTGGTGCCCTAGGCGAGATTCTTCTGAGCAACTACCAAATTAGTCTTCCAAAAATCATTGAACTTTCACTAAAAATGAAAAAAAAAAACACATAAAACTGATAATGACTTTATTTACAATATTTACAAATACCACTGGTGAAAGATGAAATGATAAACTGTCACTGGGTGGCAATGAAACGGTTCTTTGCTCCTCCATGCAATCCAATGAATACTGTGAGGCAACACCGCCAACCACATATGAAACCTGTCAGTCATGAGCATTAATGTTATTGGTAGTTCATCCTGTCTTGTTGAGATGTCTCCAAAACACCATGCAGGGAAGCCTAGCTTCCACGTAGGTCTAAAATATCTGACTACAAGTCTATTTGTCCAATGAATGTTGCCTATGCAAAAACTATGTATGAACCTCTCATAGACCCCCAGTGAAGCACGGCATCTGGGTGGGCTCCAAAAACATCTCATCGAAGCAGATTGACCAATATGACCGATAAGATTTTGTATGTTCTGCATTTAGATAAAGCCTACATGAATCTTCCATAGACTTCCAGTGAAGCACAGCGTTAATGGGCGTCTATTTATCCTGGCTTCAAAGGGGAAAATAGTGTTTGTGATGTTGAAAGCAGTTCATGTGAAACGATTAGCACTGTGGTTCAATTAATTATGGAGGGCTAAGAGTGCCAAAATTAAATAAATAAATACACCAATAATTAATAAATTAAATGTGTCATGAATTGTTTAAAATGGGAAATATAAAGATAAATTATTACTTAAATGTGTCATGAATTG